TTTTTTTTTTTTTTTATAATAAATTTGTCAACTGATAAATTGTTGCTTGTTTATACCGAATATTAACACCTTACTTTTGTTGTTTTTTTATATTGATAATATTAACTTATTTGCGAATCAATTTTAAAGTAACTAAACATCAATTATTTTTATTAATTTTATAAACATGCAATAATATTAGCATATAGGTCAATTTTTAGACAATAACTAATGGAATACAATTAAAAACTAATTTATTATATTATTAAAATTTGAACTTAATTTATAATTTTTATATTTAATTTTCATAATACGATATACCTTACAAGGACATTTCGATTTAATTTGTTAGTCTTTCTCAGCTTGAATTCGAGATACAATATAAAATATTTACAGAATAAAATTATATAGTAATAAACTAAAATTATTTCAATAATATTATTGGATTCTATTTCTCACTTTTAAACAAGGAAACAGTTATTAAAATATTATGAACTTGAAGAATACCATCCCATACATGTACAATTATCACAACATATCTTTATAGTTACCTTTTTTAGCTTAATTCTAATTTAGTTTATTACTATGTAATTTTACTCTATAAATTTTATATTATATTGCGGATTAAAACTGAGAAAGACTAAATTAAGTCAAAACGTCCTTGCAAAGTATATCGTATTATGAAAATTAATACAAATTATGTTCAAATTTTAATAATATAATAAACCAATTTTTAATTATAATCCATTAGTTATTGGCTCAAAATTGACCTAATATTATTCCGTAGCAATATAATAGAATCATATCTTCAGTCAAAAACGGATCTATGTTATTAATAGTATTCGTATGTGAATATACAAATGCAATTATTAATTTTATGTGTGCCGATTTGATTAATCAAACTTAAAACCGAAATAATAATCTCACAATCTTTTTAAAATTAATTAATCGTCAATTTAACAACAATGCGCTCTATTAACTTTTTAAGCTGACGTGATATTTCTTGCGATAAGTTATTACAGGTTTTTAAGATGCTAGTGTAATACTATTATTAAATCGAGAAACAATTAAAATTTGTGCTTAAATATTTCTTGATTGATTTTCATTTAATGTTGTTTAAGATAATAAAAGTTTTCTTAACCATCGTATAAAATTTTTATACAATACACATTTAATTTTATATTTTTGACTCGTTAATTTTATTATAATTATACACATGTAATTTATTGTTGATTCGTTAATTCTATTATACACACTTAATTTTAAATTTAACATTGAAAATGACCCGATCGGTGTCGAAACGTATGTGAATTTTACCTACTAATTTTACTATGTTTGCGAATTTTGCGAATTTTATTTTAATATATTATGATTTGATTTCATTATATTTATAATTTTTAAGAAAACTATTTGGCTCTTTTCTCTTATTTTCAACTTATTTGTTTTATACTTGTTGAGCCTTCTATTAATTTATTTTATACAATATTTCTATATTCAAATATTTCAATATTTTAGTTCACATTTTTTAATATACTCTATTTTTCTAAAATTATACGAAATAAATGCATTCACTATATTTGCACTAAATCAAGTATACAAGATGTGATATTCAATTAAATACTCAATGAATAAAAGTTTTTATCAAACAAACAAAGAAGGACAGTCTATAAAGGTCAAAGCTGGATCACAATGCTTATTATAATTATATGTGAATTTTATAAACTACTATTTAGTCCCCCCATAATTTAATTTTAGTCCCCGCGCTGATAACTTTCAGACATAACGCATAAATACTACAGTAGTAATATCACAAATTTTACTTGATTAATTTAATAACACATATTAAATATAAAGATGATAAATTAAAATTCCGTAAATAATTAGATCTTTAATTTATTCTTTAAATATTGCGAAAAATATCACATATAATTTTTGGCGTTTTGTCCCGGCTTCCACTACTGGACTCATCAGTAAGGTATTGTAATGAAAGCCTACCTTAACTACATACGTAGTTTATAAAATTCACACATAAATACAATAAGCACTATGATTCAGCTTTGACCGTTATAGACTGTTCTTTTTTGTTTGTTTGACAATTATACGGTCGTTTAAAGAATTTAATAGTTTTTATCAAAGTTGGTAATTGGTACCGATATCTTGTTTAAATATGCAAAGACTATTATACACAGTATTTTTTAATTTAAATTTTTTTAGGTATGTGTTACTATGGTATTATTGTAATTTTCAAGATACTACAACGCAAATACATAACATTATTACATAAAATACACGGCACTAGTAAATTTTAATTAGAATTTTTATTATTTATCGAGATAAATTGTCTAATCAAAAAACGATTCGATTTTCAAATTTCTTACAGATATGATAAATTTGTAATATAGTCATATAATAAAAAGTTACATAATAAAAAATATACGTGTGGTGTAAATATGTAACAAATAATTTAATTTACTTACGCAGATATGCTGTAACATACGCTATCACGAGCGTAAAAACAAAGAGTACAGTAGACATTTTTCTTTGAGGTAGCTCTGATACTACACGAGAATGATCAATCTACTGCGAATCAAGTCTCATGGAAGCCAATTCTATATACTGTAAAAATCTTTTATTTTTAATATGTATTTTCCCCTCAACTCTCACTTTTATATTGATGCACATGCGTAGAATAAAAATCACTTTTATCCTTCTATTTCATTCGCTTTCATATTTTGTATATGGTCACATGATTGTATAGGAAATGTAAGTGGGAGAACATGCCAGAGGGAAACTAATTTTTATTTTACAAGGGTATGATAAATTTAGAACTAGGTGGTATCTAAAATAAAAGAATACTGGATAAGCCGGTTTTTAAAACATATATTTATAAAATTTGTTCTTTGCATCAATTTCGTGACCTTTTCCTTCCTCTAGTCATTCGTTTTAAATTCGTGATCATATTCCAAGATTTTCTAAAGAAATAGTAGTCACAATTATCACCAATTTTATAACAATAGGTAAAGAATGAAAATTAAGGTTTTATTTAGGAAAATTTGATTTACAATATTTTTGTATTATTCCAAATAATGTAAGAAGCTTATATTTTGTAATACTTTTTGTAATTTATTAGATAAGTAAAAGTAAGAAACAATTTTTAATTTATTTCGTCGTAAAGACTAATATAATACAAATAATATAAATTTATGGAAACTTAGATAAGATATTGACTTTACAAGTATTTTTTAGTTATTATAAATGTAATAAAATATAGTATCACAATCTTAATGAATATTGATAATTTTGTAAATATCAAATATATAACACAGTTCAATATTTTTATTTGACTAACTACTCTTCAATACAAATCTGTACTATTGCACTAGCAATCTGTCAATAATAACTAACAATACATAATTTGCATTACAAAACAATTTGCATTTATTATTTAATTCAAGTAAACCATGTCGCTAATTTTTTAAATATTATTAATAATAGAAGTATATTACAATATATTTTCATTATTTTTTTGAAACGGACGTATTACAGATTCATATAGTAACTATTTTTCTGCAACAATGAATCTCACATTATGCTTCGTTAGGAAACAATTGCTCAAATCTATGGAGAGTTACGTTGTTAACAACTGAAATGACCAATTTGGACACCGTCTCTTCCAATGCCGGCGTAACTTTACTGATAACATCCTTTTCGCTTTCGTTTATAACATTACTAATAGCTTCATGTAATTGAACCAAATCTTTCTCGCTGTCATCAAATTTATATTTGAACGATTTAATCATCAAACGAGTTTTTACATTTGCTGCGTATATTTCCGTTTTACCGTTCTTGGTTTCCTCTTTCCAGTCTACAATTATTTTCCCTTCTACGTCATCTGCAGAAAAAACATATTTTGATAAATTTATGAAATAAAAACAAATTTTGAATTTTTTATATTAAAATAAATAGCTCCAAATAAACTTTTGTTTTATTTCACTATAATTTAATATATTGACTGTTTTATATACCTGTAGAAATATGAGCTAGTCCCTTATTAGCAAGTGGTATCAATACACGTATGTCAAAGTCATACACGGAATCCATATCAAGGTGTTTAACTATAAACCCAAAGTCGAAGCGAAGCTTATCAGGAGATACTTGTAAAGAATGTACTTCAAAATCGCAAAATCCTTTTATTTTTGAATCTTTGAGACTTAATTTAAGATTGTTTGTGTTATAAATAATTATTTCGTCAGCTTTTATTGACTCGACCGGATCAACGTTAAGTTCCGGCAATCCAGTCTGGCAAATTTTATTATTTACATTATTGATGTTGTCCACGATGCACTGACTATAATTAGGATCATTGCGACCACACACGTGAATATAGGAGGCTATAAAGAGTTCAAAAATTTTATAAAAATATTTATTTTAATAATAAGAAGGATTAAGAGAAAACAAACTTTAAATTATTTAACTTATAACTTTATGTTAAATTATTTAAGATAAAATAAGTTAAAATGCAAATTTAAAAATTTCAAAATAGGTAGTATATAATGTAGATATTATGGCTCAATAAATTAAAAATAAGATAATTAAATATAATATAAAGGCTACGAGCCAAATTGGCAGTACAATTGAAATGTAACTACTGGAAAACGCAATTTGTCTCTAATTTTCACTTTAAGCGATCTATAATTTGCGATCAAATTCAAAATAAAATTTTACTTATAATTTTATGTGTCACATATCATAAATATAAACGTATAGTCTGAAATATATTTTATATACATATGTGTAAATTTTACTATTTTAAATGTTTCCACGTTACTACACGACATGTAAAATTATAAATAATATTCTGTTCCGAAGTTGTAATTATAAATCTGTTTAGTTCTAAATTATACATCGTCTAAAATGGATTTTACAAAAAATTATTTTGTAACATTTAAAAAAAAGTTTTTATATTTTATTATACATTTTTACTCCAATTGCTGATGGATGATTAACATTATTTGTAAATATTATATATAATACAATATATTGTTCCTAATTAAATACTAAAATTTTTAATCTATAGCCAAACATTTTAATCATGATTTATAAAAAGAATACGACTTTAAGACGTATTTTTTACTTGAGAATCCATACATTCTAAATAAGATATAAAAAGTATAATAGAACATTTGCGTTAGAAAAATATCTCATTTCGTTTAATTATTATTAAATTTTTCATTAAAAAATTATGTATGTAGTTATTTGTTAATTTTTAGTATTTACTAAATTACTAACAGTAAAATACCTAATAACCGCTATAAAAGCTGCGCAAACTTACATATATAATCTCAATATAATATAATAGTAATAGTACTAAAAATAGTAATATAATCTCAAAACAGCGCAAGATGTACTTTTTTCATTCTTTACATGCACACGTACTTCATGGCGGAAATAAATGTATCGCAAATACTATTATTTACTCACGTATTTCCTCTGCAGCATGTACTGTCACAAGCACAAAAACAAAGAGTACAGCATACATTTTTCAAATAAAGATTTTTCTACGGAGTAACGTGCAAAACCACACCAAAACGATTTGAATAAACGTACAACAGAAGTGAATCAAGAGCAACATGAACTGAAGTGTAACAACTCGAGCTTTTATATATTGCGGGAATCCCCCTTTTTCAAACGTTCCCTCAGTACTCATTCTAATTTTTATGACACATGCGTAGAATGAAAATATCATTGCTTCTATTCCGATTCTGCGCATGATTGTTTGATCAAGCAATTTGAAGTAAAAGAGAAGCAGGAAATAATTAAATCAAATACAATTTTTAATAACTATGCAGTAGCAGAAGAGGGGATAGATAGAAGAGCTAAGAATTAACTTGTATCTTGCATATCTCTAATCCATATTTATATATATTTTTATATTTAGATTATTATTCAGTTTCCTAGTCATGAATAAAAAAAAACTAATTACCAATAACGAGTTTTTTATTTTGTAATTATACGATTTATTCGTTCTAATATCTCGATCGTCCTCCATAACTATTTAAAGCTATACGTATTGTTTAAATCAATGCCATATTTTACGAACAATGAATTTATTGTCCGTTAGATATTCTTTATTTTTTTTTAATAAAGAATAAAATTCTTCTTACAAAATAAAAAATAAATCTTCATTTTAAAACAAAAACTTATTAAATAAACTTTATATACCATATATATTCGCATTAAATTTTGCATATGTTTTACATAAAGAATGTTATACCTGTTTTTCAACATTATCATTAAAAATAAAATTAACAATAGAATCTATTCTTGCTTATATATTTGTGTTTTAGCTTCTAGTTCAAATTCAAATTTTCTTTTTAATCTTAATGTTACACATGATTTAAATATTTTAATATTATTTAATTTAAGCGATCATGTTGAATAAAATTAAATCTTTCTCTTTTTATTATATTAACGATTTTAAAATCATAATTACAACAAAATAACATTTATGTAAAAGAAATATAATCACAAACTTTATTTTCTCTATATTTTTGTGTACATGTACATACATACAGGATGTTTCAAAATTTACGGACATGGAATGCGCATAACATAATTGTATGTGCCAAAGAAGCAACATTTCTCTTTGGAACAATTGCGTTTAAGTAGTACTTATTTCTTAAATGACAGTTTTAAATGAGAGAATTTAAGTTAAATTAATTTAATATTAATAGTAAAATAATAACGTACATATTCATATCGGGCCGCGCCATGTGTGTACAGCGTCCCTGATCCATACGTAACGTAGAGCATTCATTTGTTAACTTAAAATTGCTCTTATTTAAAAAGCACTGTTCAAACACAATTTTGCCAGAGGAAAAAGTTGCTTTTTCGGCTCATACAATCACGGACACGGATTACACAGTTTTTGTGTAATCCGTGTCCGTGAATTCTGAATCATCCTGCATAATACTATAGCTGCGCTTGGCTTAGCGCCGAGACACTACCGTGTCTCTAGATATACATATACATATATTGTATGCGTGCGTGCGTGCATGTGTGTGTGTCATCACGTGCATTTGTAGTTCATATATATACCGAAAATTTGATATTGTTACAAAAATAAAGTTATTATTAAAAATATTCATCTGCATGTTCTTAAATTGTTGATAATATTGAAATGTAGAAATTGGCAAATTATAAGGGTTGTTTAAATGAAACATAAATTGCATTGATAGTATCATAAGTATTTAATATGAGAGACTTGTTTTATCGCGGCGTGATTTTACTACATGACACCGCAAAATCGTACATGGCGCATGCGACGTGACATTCTTATTATTATTTTAAAACCGTCGTAAGTAGTTTTATAAAATTTTATATACCATTTCTGAACCATATTAGTATCTTAAAATATTACTTAAATTATTTTGAAATAAGAATTATAATTATAAATTATACCAACTTAAGAGAGAAAGATGTTTTTGTTATATGTATATTAGGAGCAAATTTATAAGCAGTGCGCGTTGCTTCGAACATTCGCAGTAGCATTACGTATATTAAAGGTGGGGCGCAATAGAGAGTAGGGTGATAATAGGCATGCTTGTGGCTAATTAAAATAAAGTTATATATAGATTAAGGTTAAGACAACATTTCAACCAGAACTTATTCATTCACCATTATTCATAATATATGTTGCGACAAAGCAGAATCGCACAGTCGAGTCGCATTACATCATGAATAGCAATGAAGAAGGATATCTCAAATCTTCCTACATGTAACTTATTTTAATTAGAGAATTGCTCGGAGAATGATCAGTAGATCTAATACAGTGAAGTACCAATTACTGAATCAATATTCAAGGAATCTAGCACCGTGTTTCATTAAGAGTCGAGAGAGAAAGTTAAAAAAGTTCTATATCCTCAGTTATTCGAATAAAATTATAAAATACATTTCCAAAGTCAATTTTAGTCCGAAATATAAGTATAGAAAAGGAAAATCGTATATTAAAATATCTTCTTATATACAGGGTGTTTTAAAATTGAAGGTTAATCGTTCGGAAGATAATTAAAGACCTAAAAATAATAAAAATATTGACATAATGTATAAGTTTATTACTTTACAACGTGTCCTGATTTCTACCTGGAGACACTAAGCTGTATAAATTGTACCTTTACATAAAGCAATATTGTAGAAATATTACAATAACATTACAAAATTGCTGTAATATTACATGATAATGAATCAATAATATTGCATATATATTGTTGCAATATTAAATTTTCGCGAAAAATTCATTATAACTTCCAAAACTGTGTTCGAGGTGCTATCAGCGCTGTTGCATCATTCATCAATTCTTGTTTTACATGTAATGAACGATAAAGATGGAATGACACACAATAGCGTTTATAAATTATCAAATGTAGTTATCGCTATTATCAAAATAAATTATCAAATGTAGTCCAAAAATATATCATGTGTCCCTAATTTTTACATAGAATAGCAAAAAATTGTACTGTTAAGAAAATCTCATTTAAACCGTGTTCCTGACACATACAGTAGTATTGAAAACCTATAGTATTTCTAGGAGGAGGGGGAAGGGGGAGGGGGGAGGGGATGCGGTCGGAGTTGTTGGAGGTGTGAGTGAAAGGTGAGAGAGGATGTTAAAAAGTTATAATAACGAAAGAGAGTGAAATACGGTGAAAGAGAGGGGTGGAGGGGGGAGGAGGGTGCGGTGGGTCGAAAATGATGGAGCTGTGAGTGAAAGGTGAAAGGGGATGTTAAAAAGTTATAATTTCGGACGGATGGACAGAGAAGGAGACGTTTCTTAATTTTTCATTAAAATCATCACTTTTCGACCGCTTGTATCTCCAGAACGGCTTGACTGATTTTAAATTTTTTGGCTCAAATTACTCGTCACGATGCCGCCTTTCAGGACATATAACGTTCGATTCAAAATTTTTTATATTTTAGTAGTTATGCACCCCCGAAAAATAGACTTTGGTAACTCGGGATAAAAGACTTGTAGTGTCTATTATTAATCTTTTAAACTAACTTTTAAATTAACTAGTAATTTTTTAAACATGGCCGGAGACACTACCGCGTCTCCTGATGAATATGAAAGCACACATATACAATGTTTTTTGTAAAAAAAATTCTTTTTATATTCGGCTAAAATTGCAAATAAATTCCAGTATTAATCCAAAATGGTTACGTGATTGCATTCAGAAAACAACGGCTCAGGTGCATTTAGTACTACAACTGTTCATTGAGTGCTTTTGCATTTAATTGGCAGATTCCATTTCCAGCGTTAATAAAAGCGGAATAGATCGATATGATTTTCATCTATATATTTCGCAAGACACGCACTTGGATCGATAGATAAATTCAAACTGATCAGTAAATATGGATAATGCTGCGATTTAATATGCGATTTAATGTTTACATACCGTGATACATTTGAACGATTAGTGGTATACCAACAAGCAGAGAAGACACCAAATTATTTGTAGGATGCCTTGAAACAATTTTCATTATTGATCTTGCATAACCTTGAATGACCTTCAATTATAGGTCACTGTATTCGTCTTAAAATGCTCTATCAAAGTGTGAATGAAAAATCATATCATACAATTTAAAAAAACAGATTTGACCTTTGCCTATCCTTTATGCCTCCACCTACGAAATAATTATTGACGTCACATTATATACCCCTCGAAACCAAGCAACTTTTGTTTGATACTTTTCCTTCTATTGTTAAAAACAAATGAGTTATTCAGATGATCTGTTTTAAATGCCTCACCCTGTATAATTGATTGAAAAACAAAAGTTAAAAAAACTGCGCTGCGTAGACGTCGAAGGACGGAACAGGCATTTAACTTATTACAGAGCTAACTACATGTATTGCATGTTCATGCGAGTATAATGTAGCAAAATATGTACAGTGCGCATTGATGTATTGAACTTTCTATTACTATACTTGTATCGCAACATTGACTGATCGACAGATAGTATTGTAGCAAACGTAACACCATCATAAACTTACATTATTCTCGGAGCGAAATACATCACCGTGCCTCTTTCTTGCGAGATGAATAAAGTTACATAACGCGCAGCGTTGGATTGCAGCACGTGATTTTGCTCTCGCGCATGTAACCATTTGATTTCATTCGCGAAGCATATAAACACAATTTCCCGGAGAAAGTATTTGTCAAAACGTCAGAAAGAATAACATTAAATCTTAATAACATTAAAACACTAACTTGCTTTTTTAATAGAATAGCTAATGCTTTTTATTATAAAATTATTAGAAGTATATATAAAAACAAAAATAATTAAATATACAGAAAGGTTTACAAAACAAGAAATTGAGAAATCAATTTCGAGCATCTCATAAACATATATAAACGCAGATATAGACATACCTATACTTACGCATCAAACAGAGAAAGTTTGAAGTCGAAAAATACCACAGAAGTGACGAACTGGAGCTCTGCCCTTCATCCACGTGCATATGGGGAAAATTATATGCATTATATTCATATAATATACTCCAAATAATACAAAGAAACAGCTAAGATATTGTATACCTAAATTAAACATTAAATATAA